TTTTTTTTTTTCATGCATAAATAGATTCACTCGTCCACTCAAGTTCCATAATCCCATCAAGCCTGAAGCATTCCCTTCGAAAATCTGATTTACCTTTACGTTAATAGCTTCAATCACGATAAAAAGAAATCCTCGAATTCCTTCATGATCCGATTATCCTGGTCTTCCTTCGCGTGATTTAACGAATAATTTTCTCGTTTCAATTGACACAAAAAATTTTAAAGAGGAACAAGAAAGGGTGCATTCTTCAGCACAGAAAAATTATTTTTGTTACTCGCCTACAGATCGACTGATCGTATATTTCGTTAGGAATATAAATGTGAATACGAAATGATTAAACTAAAGATGGAAATTAACGATGGAGTCTCTCTCCGAAGGTCCTCCATTAAAAAAACTAAAATAAAATAAAATAAACTCGAACTACAAAAATACTACGGTAGAAACCAAAATTAGCGTGTAAATATAAAAAAAAAAAAACTATTATGGATAATTAATCTGTTATTGTTACGTTTCTCAAATACGTTACCAAGATTATATTTTTTGCTGGTAATATCGTTTTAGGTATTGAAAATTCACGCGATATTCTTAAAATCGTACAATGCCTCGTACGACCATCGTTTTTCATTGTCAATGTTAATTATATCGCAAATTGTGGTTTTCTTTTAGAGGGAAATTAATTCTGAGAAGATAGAGTAGATACACGTGACGTGTACAGACGTTTTAATTGCATTTAATTCAACTCAGTGTCTGAGAGATTTAGAAAAGAAGAAAAAAGGAAATTACTAAATTATAATAAGTCGACGATGAACGCACGACGTTTGAAAATTCAAGAGTTGAGAAGAATTATTAAAATGCGACACGTGAAGTTTGAAGAGGATTAATGATAACATTATTTTGTTTACTGTAAATCTGTCCCAATATAACGATTGATAACCCAGTGCTATTTATAGTTAATCGAACAAATTAGTGGTGTACAAATGATAAAACATTTAATGATAATTGAACGATGTGTGAGAAACGTTTATCGAGAGGCGCTTTGATACATCTTTTATTCTCTTCGAGCGGGTTTATGTAAATTCTCCTGCGAATTCGACTGACACTGTATACAAATAATTTTTTTGTTCATACTGCCATCGATTCGTAATTGATAACTTCTCTTTCATTCGCTTATTTTCATTAGCTATTTTTTTTTTCTATTGATTTATTCATTACAAAAACAGGGATTAAATGATTTCGATAATCTGATAACTCACGCGTAATTAATGCGTATTTATATGTTTTTTATATTCTTTCTTATAGATAAAGCAGTTTTTTATTTAGTGTGAATAGTCAATCGACCAGGTCGACTGGGAGAAATGGATTTTATGCTCTTTTTATCGGCCAACGTTTTAAGTCGTTTCTATTGATTTTAGAGATTAATAAATTCACAGGAATTAATTATGTGGAGAGGTTTTTTTATTTTTCCTTGGGGTATTTTATCGTTGTCTGCATGAAGAGTGAAGAGCGAGTGCTTGGGCAATTCTATTCAGCATTTTTGAACATTGTTCCTTG